TCCTGAGTTCTTGCCTTACTCTAGGCCTAACTCCAGTGGGCCTAACTGTAAAACCAGCCATCAGTGGCATGCCCCCTAATATGTGGCCTGCTATATTAGCCCTAGCCTACAAACAATCAATAGATTTGACTAAATCTGTCCTACAACTGTACTCTGAACAAATGTATAACCACAGAAAGGCTCTTTCTGACCTCACAAAGCTGATTTTGAATGACAAACCACAACTAGCAGATAATCTCAATTCAATAGCACAGAAAGCCTTAATTAATATGAACAAAGAAGCTGAAAGAAAACTCAGAAAACTCTCTAACCTTTGTATCAAACATATACATCAATATGGATCTATAGGCCTAGTCCAACAAACCCAACCACATCAGGTTCCTCTAATCTCAGATAGGCCTTGTCTGGCCTCCCTCTTAGGACTACCTATACCAGTAGGCCAAAAACCCTTTCTACCTAAACCACCGAAGATTCCTACTCCCCCATTCAAGAGCAATTCTGTCCCAAACAACCCTGAAACCTCTACAAATGAACAACAAGTTTGCAACTTATCCAACCACCAGCTCTCAGAAATAGAAAAAACAGTTTTGACCAAGGGTCTCAGTTTTTGTCCCACACCCCGTTTTGACCATTTTGGCCTAGTTAAAGACATCATGTCGCTAGCTAGGAACCTACGTCTCAAACATTATTTCAACTCACAAGATCAAGACAACTCGAAATCCAACAGTGTGGCGCCCTCCCTAGCGAAGTTTGCTCCACCCTCGGACTTCGATCCCCCTCCGTTACCAGCAGACCATCCGATAGAACAATACATCAACTTCTTGGTACAAAACATCTCAGATCCCACTTTCGAAAACAACGTAACCTCTACAACACTCCATAACCTCACCGAAGCCGAGAAAAAAGCCATTTCAACTTTAAAATCAAACACTGATATCATGATCCTTCCAGCTGACAAAGGCTCGACCACAGTGATAATGAATAAATCTGATTATGTGTCAGAAATCCAACGCCAGCTCAGTGATTCTTCCACCTACCTCCCTCTGAAAGAAGATCCAACTATAAAGTACACCGCTGAACTCAAGGAAATAATTTACAAACACTCCAAATCCAACAATATCTCCCCAGAAACAACAAATCTGTTAATACCAGAAGAACCCATCTGCCCTAAAATCTACATATTACCAAAAATCCACAAAGGCATAACACCACCGCCAGGAAGGCCCATAGTATCAGGCTGCGGTTCTTTAACGGAACGTATCTCTTCATACGTAGACGCCTATCTACAACCGCTAGTACAAAACTTGGCCTCATATATCAAGGACTCCAATGATTTTTTGCAAAAACTTAACAATGTCAGACAACCACTCCCCGCTAACACTCTCATGGCCACTATTGATGTCACCTCACTCTACACAAACATACCTCATGTCCACGGCCTAACAGCAACAGAAAACTACCTTCAAAACAGACCCAAAGGATCCCTACCCACCACTTCGTTTATAACTCAACTGATAAAATTCATTCTGGAAAAGAACTATTTCCAATTTCAGGACAAACACTTCCTACAGATCAAGGGCACTGCCATGGGTACAAGAATGGCCCCATCTTATGCTAATCTCTACATGGGGAATTATGAAGAAAAGTTTTTGTCTAGCCGTGAACACCTCCCCATCTGCTGGTTTAGATACATTGACGATATTTTCATAATTTGGACCCACGGTGAAGAATCACTACGGAAGTTCCTGGAAGACCTCAACAGTTTTGGACCGCTAAATTTCACCTGGGATTTCTCTGAGACTTCCATCAACTTTTTAGACCTTACAATTCATCTAAGGAACAATAGCCTCACCACATCTATCCACATAAAACCGACCAACCACCAACAATACCTCCATTTTTCTAGTTGTCATCCGAATAACACCAAGAGATCACTTCCTTACAGTCTTGCCCTAAGGGGAAATCGCCTAATTTCAGAACCGAAAGACCGTACACAATACCAAACCCAACTTCAAAAAGCCTTCGAAAACCGAGGCTATCCTAGCACTCTCGTAAAATCTCAGATCCAAGCGGCTCAGAACCCACGTCCAACTACAAAGAAAAATACCAACCATCTTCAAGTAAATTTGATAACCACTTACCACCCTGGCCTGCAACAACTAAACAACCTCCTTAAAACAGGTTTCAAAATCCTAGAGTCCTCCAGCCAAACCAAAAACCTCCTTTCAAGAGCCCCTTCCATAATCTATAGGCAACCCCCAAATTTGAGGAATATGCTAGTCCACCCAAAACTCCCAAATCCATCAAAAATACCATCTGAGAAACCAAGACCGGGCTCATACCCATGCAATGAAAACCGATGTAAATCTTGCCAGATACACCATCCTACAGAAACTTTTACCAGCACATACCATAATAAAAATTACAGAATCCAAGGCCATCATACCTGCAGCTCAGAGAACCTTATCTACCAGCTTCAATGTTCACATTGTCCAGCCCAGTACATAGGCCTAACAACCGAGACTCTCCGAAAACGCATGAACGGCCATCGACATGATGTTAAAACTAGCAAAGAAAAACCAGTTGCACAACATGCCTTATCCCACCAACTTCTATTTGATGACTGTTTCACCATAAAAGCTCTAAAATCATTGCCAAAGAACCAATGCAATAGTTCAATGCTCAGAAGATGGGAATTAGCTTACCAGTTTGTGACCAACTCCAGAACCCCACCTAACCTCAACATTAGATAATATCCTCATATCCTCACCCTCACAGCTAACTCTTAAGTATTTATTTTCATGGACAAAACTAATTTGCTTTTCAATGTACATATTATATGTAAATACAATATTGCAATGTGCCTGTATTTAGTGCTTTGTGCAGTGTCAGTTGGACAACCTGTCAGACATTTTGAATTCAAACTGTGTCATCCTATTTAAACTGTTGTTTTGTAACTACCATCTAGGCCTACTTCTGAAGAAGCCTCTGAAAGAGGCGAAATATTAAGTAAATTATGTGAGTGATTTTATGTGTTCTTTGACTCATCTGCAACCTTTCATCAGGTGAGTTAGCTGTGTCCTCTCCATCCTATATTTATTTATTTAATCCAAGCTAAATGCTTTTTCCTAAAAACATAACCTTAATGTTGACACATCGTTTGTAAAAATCCGTCCATTATTAACGGAGGAGTAGTATTTCGTAGAAATCGCCTTCACGTATTATATAAGTATTCGTCATATCTGAAAAATATTGTATTCTAGAAGTTAAAAAAAATGTTTCATTGCGTATAAATTACTAAATTATTAATTTAATACTAAATATTATCCTCTAGCTATTAAATGAAAAAATTTGTTTTGATACTTTAGTTAGCCGATTTGCATGGGATGAACATAAAAATATATGTTTTGTAATAACTTAATATATATTATTAATAAATATATTATTTTCCAATACAACGATATATAATTTCTTAATTAACTGTTGCACTCTCTTGGTCAGGTAGTTTGCCTCAATTGAGACAGTGTAGGGGTTGGGCCGTGCGGCGCGCGCCGCACCGTGTGAAAGCTCCTATAAGAACCAATGCACCTTCACCGAATTGTGCGGCGTGGACGCCGCGCGGCGCTGTCGTCCGGCTGAAGGTGCATCCGGCGGTAACTCGCGCGCCGGACATAGTGTGAAAGGACTCATATACTCCCATAGCCCTACGCCGGACCCGGCGGGCGCCGCACGGCGCGCGCCGCGTCGTGTGAAAGAGGCGTAACATAGTGTCAGCGTTCGCCGCTAGAACCGCTAAGTTGAAAAATTTACATTAAGTTAATTTTAAATTTTTAGTTATAAAATTAACTTTTTAATTATAAAATTAAACTGTCATAACCTAACCAACCAAACTTGCTGATAATATGAAAAATATATAAGATAAAAATGAAATTAATGTTTATTTATAATTTTTAATTATAAAATCAAAATTTTGTATTATACAATTAAACTGTCATAACCAACCAAACTTGCTGATAATATAAAAAAGATATACCTAAGATAAAAATCAAATAAAGCAAAATCTTTGACAAAAAGTTATTGTCCCCGGCGGGTTTCGAACTCGAGACCTCCTGATCACTAGTCCGATGCGCTATCAACTATGCCACGAACGCCGCTGGAATCACATCGTCTCGTCACGGTAATCGTGTTGCCTCAAGAGAAGACATTAGCCACTATAGATATAACGTCACCACACTTTTAGTCATCGTCCCTCCCGTATCCCAATCCGCTTTGTAGTGTATCAATTTTGTTGCTATTGATAGGCATTTGTTGTTGTATGTGTAGTAATATGTTGCATTCTGATCAATTTATTAATTCTATTTTGCCATGATGGATTTTCTTTAAGATTGTATGTTATAACTTCATCTAAGTATTTGAAATTTTCTACAATTTTGATGCAATGTCCTCCAATTTTGATTTTGTTAGCCAATGGTGGTTTTGTTAACATTGTTTCAGTTTTCTCAAAATAAATTTTTAGACCTATGCTCTGGGCTATTTCCTGAAGTGATTTTATTTGTTGCTTGGTTTCTTGGATGTTATTAGCTAGAAGAGCCAGATCGTCAGCAAATCCTAAACAGTTTAACTTTATGTCATCTTTTTTTTGTTCCAACAGTAATTTTTTGGGTTTGTTTAAGCCATTCCCTCATAATGTATTTAAGTGCACAGATAAAAAGAAGTGGTGAAAGGCCATCTCCCTGTCTTAAACCAGTTTTGACCAGAAAAGGTTCTGATATTTCTCCTCTAAATTTGATTTTATTGAAGGTATTTGTCAAGGTAAGTTCTATAAGTTTTATTAATTTTGGGTGGAGTCCGAAATGTCTGAGAATCTTTAACAATGATGGTCTATGGATGGAATCGTAAGCTTTCTTAATCTACAAATGTTAAATTATTTGTATAGGGAAATGTTGTTTGTTTTAATTAATTGTGAGCATATGTCGCATTCAGACATTGTTTGTGTACAGACATGGCAAGTCTAGAGAAGCACCTGAGAGACGCCATTATCCATGGTCAGCCAAGAACGAGAAGACCTTGGAAGAAGATCATCATCATGGTGGAAGGTATCTTCAGCATGGAAGGATCTATAGTCCATCTACCAGAGGTTCTCCGGCTCAAAAAGAAGTATAAGGTGCGCAATATTATATGCATTTTGATTTTTAAATAAATCTCAGGGTAGGCATATTTATTTGTTGTTCACAGGTTAATCGCAAAACTTTCATAGCGGAAGGTGGGGCTGTACTGAGATCAGTGTTCTATTCAGTGCCAAAAATAATTGAAATCACAGTGAATACTCAGCGTTTTACAAGTGTTTGTTGTGATTGTATGGCAGGCGTACCTCTATCTTGATGAGGCCCACAGCATCGGAGCCCTGGGTGACCGGGGTCGTGGAGTGGTTGACTACTTTGGCTGTGACCCGCGCGACGTGGACATCATGATGGGAACCTTTACCAAGTCCTTCGGCTCCGTTGGTGGATACATTGCAGGCTCCAAGGTAATTTCCTTGCTGTAAACTGTAGCCTAAAGCATGCTTATTAATAATGGGCAGTCATTTTACGTTTGGTAAAACAAGTTCTTTTGTGCATCTACTGAGGATTTTTAATATAGGCCTAAAATGTGCAACTGTAAAAATACTAACTAACATCAGTTACACCAACTTTTGGACTTTGTCCTAAAAATGAAAACTACTCATCTGGTCAATCACCTTTCTCTCGTATCGACCTTCCAATGAAAGCAAAAGAAGAAAGCCAAGAGCGGCCAATCTCGAACCGAAGCGACATACCAGTAAAGAAGAAATTCAATATTTCCATTTAATTCTTCATAATCTTTAGCTTTCATCACATTTTGTCTTTTTCAGGTCTGTGTGCTAAATTTTGAAATCATTTAGCAATGTCAATTATTATCACAACTGTTGTTTTCAGAAACTGGTGGACTACCTGAGAGTGCACAGCCATGCTCACTGTTACGCCTCCTCCATGTCTCCTCCTGTCGCCCAGCAGGTCATCACCAGCATGAGGATAATCATGGGAGAGGACGGCACTAGCGATGGTCAGTACAGGGAAAAGCAAAAACTTTATACTTACATATGTGGTCGATTTAACACAGTGTACTGTTTCTTTCTTCTATTCTTTGATAATCATTTAGAACTGATTATTTTAGCATTATATTATTATGGTTCTAGTGATGGCTAAGTAGTGATGCTTGCAGATATGGAGTTTTATTTATCATTTATGTCATCAAACTTAGTTCAAATTCGAGTTCAATGTTCGGTTTCTAGTCTAAAGTATCTTAGACTAGTATCCAAACTTGGCAATGTACCTTTTATGTTTATACTCACTTCTGCATTGTTTGCTACAATTCTTTCTTTTATAGATTTTTTATCCAAGTGTATAATTCAATTGAATTATAAAGAACGTATAAAGTGTATATTGGATTCAAAAAGTAGCTTCTGCTTCCTCAGAGATTAAAAAAAAAATGTCCTGCAAGTTCTTCAACACACTAAGGTTTCTAGATAAATTTCGACCCTTCAAATTCAAGCGGAATTGATTTATACCTTGTGTTGCACATAATAAAACAATACTGTATAAAACAAATAAATTTTTATTCTTTAGTGACAGTCAAAGTGTTGCACATAATAAAACAATACTGTATAAAACAAATAAATTTTTATTCTTTAGTGACAGTCAAAGTGAAATGGAAAACCACATCTTCAATCCTTTGCCTTTAATGTATGTTGATGGGCCTATTAGGTCACAGCATTTCAAGGTGTGGTAGCCCCACTAGCGCTTTAAAGAATCTGTTAAAGCAAACCTGTGAGCGTCAATTGTCGCAATCAGGCATTTTTTGCACTCATCCTAGCTGGTCGAAGGTCAAATGGAAGCTGAGTTGTCTAAGACATTGGACTGATAATAGTAGCTTAGAAGCCGTTCTACACGGGTTTGATTCCATTATATGCGCAATGCATATTAAGCTTACTGTGGGACGTCAAACTTGATGGAAGTTGACAGCAATAGTGAGGTTAACAGCTGTTTGTGATAGCCACGGTTACTTGCAAGGTACAACTTGTGTCTGTATTACAGGAGTGCGCAGGATCGCCCAGCTAGCTCGCAATACAAGGTACGTACGCAGGAGACTGCATCAGATGGGACTGATTGTCTACGGCAACGACAACTCACCAGTCATACCTGTTCTAGTCTACATGTTCTCCAAAATTGGGTAAGAAACATCTTTTCGCTTACAATATTGCTGTAGCCTGTCTTAATTAAGTTGAGACAAGCTAGTTTCTTAACAGTCCTCTAAATTTGTTCAAACTTTTCTTAAGCTTAGTTAGACAACAGATTAATAATTTAAACATAGTTTCAAAATCCAGTGTTTTATACAGTATTCTGTTACAATTTTAATTCAGGAGTAAGCTATCAGAAACTGTTTTAATGTAAGACTATAGCCCATGTAACATTCATGACTGTCATTCCTGGCACAGTGTTGTGGGGTTAGCGTGCATTGGGTATCATTCCAGGCTCTTTGATTTCCCACAGGGTCTCATCATATCCCCATATATTAGATTAGATTGAACTATCGACCGTCGCCTATCATGTAAATTTGCATTAGTAGTTTGTAATGTTTTTAACAAATTAATTTTTATGATTTAATATGTGTATATTATTGATGAATTGCCATTTTAACCTAAATGTATTATGAAATTTCAATTAGACTATGTATCTATATAACTCTTTACTCGTCATAATGTTATATGATGTTTACAGCTGTTCCTTACAACCCTTATGATGTGTATTAACTTAAGATAATAAATATTTCTATGCAGTAGAATGTCAATAATCCGGATTAATTGGGACCGGACCCCATTTGGGTGATCAAATTATCCGGATTGCTACCTTAAAAAAGGGCCAGCTCAGACTAGTTGAGTAAAAATCTTTTAAAAGTGTATATTTTCTATTATAGGTACCGTACTGAAATTCTTAAAATTGTGTTTCATAAAGCGTATTAATATGCATTGTATACTAGTTTGGTCCATTGTCTCCCACATTATTTTTGTTGAAATATCACATTTCAGTGGACAAAAATTACATAAACAAGAAGCAGAAGAAATATCAACGGCAAGCTCTAAGGTGAGTCACGCTTGCGCTTTCAATCGTCTGCTCCTCACTGCTGATGACGATATAATGCTTTAGCTGCCTGTGATTGATAAGTAACCGTGGCAACTCGTTAAATGCGTTAGAAGAGTACCGCATTATTATCCGGCATTCCTCAGTTCTGAGCCTTTCTCTAGGAGTAGCTTCCTAGACTTTCTGTTTTGTTCTTTACGGTATTTATTGATGTACAGTGATATCACATTTTTTTAAGTAATTTTTAAATCACTTGCACCTGTATTAATATTGTTAAACGTTTAGGGCTGTGGTGAGAACCCTGAAACAGAAACAGTTAGCCGTGGTAGGGGTTGGTTTTCCTGCCACTCCGCTCATGGAAGGGAGAATACGAATTTGTCTGTCTGCAGCACATACCAAAGAACAATTGGATAAAGTGAGTATGCCGATGTACATCTTTTATTTCCAAATGTGTTATTGATCTAAGGAAATATATAAATATAATATGTGATAAATTTCATCCTTTTGAGTTGTGATGTAACAATATGAACAAGTGTTTTTTAATTAATATTAGGCCTATTCAATTTTTAGCTGATAATGTTAATGTTTAATACACAGTTTTTCTTATCAGTTCTCTTGCTAAAATCCACTAAATTGAAGTGGCCTTTAGTCATGAAAATTATCTTTCAACATCAATTAACAATTTTAGTAGTTCTTTCCTTATTAAATGCTGCAATTTGAACCCCATACTCATTAATTCAGGTGTCGTTAGACATAAGAAGCTGTGAATTGTTTCTACGTTATCTGACTTACACCTTGTCTTCCTTTTTGTATCAGCTTGACATCCATTGTAGCAGCTCTTTTCATCAGTTTGGAATTATTTTATTGACGTAACAACTAACATTTTATCTGATCATTTTATGGTCATTGCTGCTGGTCTCTCCAAGGGTAAAATTGTTTTTAGTCTAGTCAGTACATAATATTGCACCCCATATTGCCACCCATATTGCAAACGGTTAGTATGTAAAATAAGTGATTGATTTGATTTCCGTAGGCGTTATCGTTCCTAGAAGAGGTGGCTGACACTCTTGGGCTGCGGTATTCACAGAAGCCCCGTTCTCCTCTGCCTGTCGTCTACGGATCAGAGGATGAGATAGAATAGCCTCCGCCACTCCACTACCCGCTCTTCGATCATTCCCACTCGCCAGCCACCTGCATTTCACTTTTCAAGAGTTTGCTTAGTTTATAACAGCAATAAAATGTATTTTTTACAGTTCATGTCGGTTTCATTACTTCCCTAACGCAATGTATTGGGCGTAAACTGTAAATATAGAAATTTTTATGTGAGATAGGCTTAAAATGTATTTGGAGAACTGTATGAATATTTTAAACTATTATTAATCTATTGGCCTATTAAATTTAGTTTGATGTTGTTTTTATGTATACTTGTTATTCTTTACTTATTTTGAATATTTATGAGAAGTTTATATACTGTATGTAAATATATGTTTGAAAATATTGTATAATGTTTAGACGCACACAGATTAGAATTACAGATTTGTGGATACATTTTTATTTAATAAATAAGTTTGAAGTAATTGTGAAAGCTGGATTATTTTACTCTTGTTAACTTGGGGTAAAAGATTTTGTTTGTAGTTGTGAGGTGACTATAGCCATTGCTATAGTTAAATTTGTCCATTTTGTTTACTGGCCAAACAATTATACTTCTTTTAGGAATCCGAATCCAGTCATATTTACCATTGTTGTGAGGCTACTAAATCAATACAACTAGACGGTTTTAAAACTTCTTAAGTTTAATATTTTTACACTAGAGAATACAAAATCATAAATAAGTAACAAATATCACAAAAAAGACTAAAAATTATACATTTACAAATGGATTTCATTGATAAAGCATTATTTAGCAGTTAGCGGTATCAGCGCAAACGTTGATTTTAGACACCAGTAACTTCTAGTTTGGTTTTCACTAAAATATAGTAATATCTATATTCAGCAGTCTCGGGGTAGTAAGTATCTAGTGAAGGGCCTCGGCTAGTTTGGTCAGTTTGATGGGTAACAAGTTGACCATTTCTCTGCAACCTCCTAGCTCAGCTGCTACGTTTTCTTGGGCTCCGTCATTACGGTCACAATAACCCACCACTTTCTGTAAAACACACAAAGGTAAAATAGGCCTACATAATAATCAAGTCTCATATAATATCTTAATACATTTGACTTTATGGAAATAGACACATTCCATTCCCACGAGGTTAACTCTCCAGTTTTATAATCAAAATTTACATACAGTAATTAAGATGACAAGAGTGCTGTAAATTAGAGTTTCCTGTCAAATATGCTATGTCACAAACAAAAAATTTACCTACTAACTCTTGAGTTATTAAAATTTTTTTTTATTTCCTCCATTAAGAGTCCTTGGAGGCTAGCGGCATCTTTAATTATTTCAAACCGCTGAGGGTTATTTATCATCCAAAATACAGGTATGCTAAAGAACATATAGCAGACATACAGAACACACAATATTTACTTTGTCAAGTAGTGTAGAGAAACATTCTCTCCACCAGGGGACTAAATATTGTGTGTTCTGTCCGTCTACTCTTTTCCATGGCCTACCTTTATTTCTTCAAGGTAAGCTAGGGGCTATTTACTTGCCTTGTTTATTTATACTCTTAATTGTATAAATGAACAACCATGTTTTGTAAACACCCCCGCCGCAGCAAACCTGCAGACTTAGCGAATTTCCATTTGCCTGATTGGATTTAAACTAAAATGTCTCCTTAAAAATATCACATTTATTCCCTATTTAAACAGAATTAGTTTAATGAGTGCTTAGGTTTGCTGCAACAGGGAGGGTAAAAAAGTTTTTTTTTTTCATGTAAAATGTTAAAAGGTACTGTGGTTTAGTAAGAAATTAATGTATTTTCCAAATTTGATCAAAATATGTTCATAAACAAGCAAACTACAACAGTTGACTTATCCTCCATAAGAATAACATGGGAATTTTAAAATTAAAATTTTTTTTAATTTTCTCCGTAACAATTAGGCGCATAATAACGCTTCAATATACTAAATTATTTGTTTTTTTTAAGCTCTACAAAATGGTTTAAAAATAGTGAAATATTGTGATTTTAGGGTCAAAAATGGGAAAAACCTATTTTTACCCCATAAAACCCCGTTCCCATAGTCTGATCATGCTGGTTCGCAAACTCATTCAAGTTTATCCCGCCTTACACCTTCAAACCAAATTTTATCAAAATCGGACAAAAATTACTCAAGTTATCGTGCGGATGGACACACATATATATATATATCTCTCTATATATAGATATATAAAAATTTGAACGAATGGTGTTTTTGGCCTCTGGGGACATCAAAATGAAAAAGTAAATCGGTCCCGGGCCTAGGTCTTACCATGAGACCTTCGGTAATAGCTACTTCCCTATAGGGAAATTCGCTAAAAGTGATGTTTACCTTGTAGTACTCAAAGCTTGTGTTGAGGTTGGCCAGTTTAGTGGCTTTGTCTGGTGTGATCATCTTGCCATATAACCTGGCCAGGTAGAAGTAACACAGCAGAGCCGGTCGCTCCACTTCAGGCTTGAACTTGTCTGGTAACTCCTTAGTTCTGTTTAATTCAGAGTGTATATATTAAAGCTTAAGTTTAAAATCAACTTCACACTTGTGTTATGCAGGTTTTTAAAACAGAACTGATGTTTTTTATTCATACTTATCTTATTTATAAAGTTTTCAAATATCATACAACAAATTGGGTCGGCATGTTGTTTTACTTGACATACCTATGCCCACGTGGCACATATTATCTTTTACGTATTAAAATGGAAAAAGTGTGTTTTGAAAAGGTTTTAAGAGGCATCCACACCCCTTCTCGTTTTAGAATCGAACAGACAGACATTGGTCGCGCAATAGAGATATAGAAAATAGTGCGGCAGAGCACAGCGCAAGAGTGACGTGTCGGCCAACCCTCCTCCCCCCCAACCCTCCACCGTCATGGCTCTCTCTCTCTCTCTTTCTCACTCCCTCTCTCTCACACACAACACAACACACTCGTCTACTGTACTGAGCTCTGCTAGCTAGTGCCACTGTCCTCCATGCCCTGCGTCCACACTAGGCCTACATTACATCTTTTTCTGTCTTCATTTAATCCTGCAACCACGCACGTGTTTTTCCTTGAAGTAACATTCTAAAACAGTTAAAGGTTACTGGAAAAAATCTATTTTTTTTAACTTGCGATGCTAATTCCCACCACAGTAGTATCCAAATAAAAACGAACTAGCATGCGAGGTAAAACACAATGTTTGTTTAAAAAGTGTAAAAATCGGGATTAATTAAAAATTTCAGCAATACAGTTCTGTAAAAAACAACTTTAATTATGTATAAACTTAATTATATGATATAGGCCTAATACTTTAAGGCAAAACATGTTTTAGAATAGTGCATAGGTTACATCAGAAATGTTTTCCCACGAAATGTATCCGAATATTACCAGGATGAAAATGCAATAAAACATTATTATAAACACAAACGAACAAATGTATTACATTATGACATGTTGTTTGGACAATAAAGCGTTTAGGTTGCATAATTTATATTTACATAATAAGAAAATGCAATAACATTACATTGTGAACACAAACAAAATACTATATAACAGCACAGTATATAAAAAAATGTGTCGTATACACACAAAAGGACCTTATACTTGAGAAATATATTACATAATTTGTTTCATAATATTAATAGAATAAGAAAATGAAAGAACAGATTATTGTAAACACAAACAAACATATATATTAAAGTGTACAAAAAATTGTTTGTAAACACAAACAAGCCTTTACATAGACTTCAGAAATATATCATAAAATGAACCACAATAGCAAGAAAAAAATTAGTAGGCTTAACTAACATTTGTAAATACAAAAAACCAAAATATAACACATTTGTATAACAAATATTAATATTGCAATTAACCATTAGCGGGAAAATCTAATACTATTTTCGTTCTGTACGTTCTTAGTGTCATGTAACGTCCGAGTGATGATCCGTCCGCATTACTTTACGTACATATATCACACAGTGGAGGTACATATTCAAAAATGACAAACTTTACTTTTTTGCTCGTTTATTTTTCTTGTTTTTCAATTTTTCTTCCCTTTTCTCAATAGCGGCCAAAATGTAGTACGGATTTCTGATAGGCATACTTCTTCTCTTCCTGGGGTCAATAAGTTCAGGTAAAATGTAGTTCATGTAAAACTGTGTCAATTTATCAACCATTTTCAATGACCAGAAACTATCGTCTCTTTCTATTTTTTCAATTTTCATCCCCTTAGGCGTCCAAACAATAAAATTACAATAGCTTCGTCTTGTGACGTGTAGTTGTCCTTGCATTTGGAAGTAGTAGTCATGGTTTACATTTATTTCTTTATTGCCAGAAGTTTGGTCTTCTTTCCAAAAGTTTGCAAAAACCCCTTTCTTTTTATTCATTATTTTGCCTCCTGAACTGTTATTCAAAGTATTATCTAGGTGTTTTAATGTTTTAAATATTTTGACGAATCTGCAAGATGAATAATTGACAAATGTATCCACGGACCTGAAGATAGAGCTTAAAAGCTCTGAAATGCGCATCGTCCTTTAGTGACTGTATCAGAACTGTTTTGACTGTATAAGGTACGTAACCTAGATAACCCTTTCTTTTGCTTGATAGCTTCATCTGGAGTCATATCTGCTGCTGCTGATGGACATTTTATTTCAATTATTCCATCATCACCCAAAAGCCCATCAGGTGAAGCTGCCAGAAAGGGAAGTTCTCGGTCGATGAAGAGGCCACATTCTTGGATCTGAAGACCAGAAGACTGCAGTTCTTCTCGGGCCGCTGCTTCATTTTCCCTTCCATACTGTTAACTAGCAGAATCCACCTCGTCAATATATAATAGTTTGGTAACAAGTTTGTCACATTTAGTGTGTGGCAGTCTCTTACAAACCGCTGCAAAGTTGGAGGCAGTGAGCAGTTTTCGCCTCTCCTCTCTCCACAAGGTGGATTCGTGCTGCAACCTAGTCGCCGTTTCGATTTGAACGATTTCCTCGTCAGTTTTATTTAAACTACTTAAGAACTCGATTTTCCTGGATTGAAATTCCTGTTCGTCAATATCGGGTCTTTGGGCGTGTCGCCCGTAGTGTGGATCGTTTGTTGGTTTTGTTGTTATCAAAAGCCGCCTTTTACTCTTTGTAGCTGATCGTCGTTTTATTGCAGCTTTGACAATTTTAGCTTTTCTCCTCTGTTCAAATGTCTTGGCGAATTTGCCCGGGCTGTTCTTATACAAACATTTGTGCAGTTTGTAGTGTGGCGTGTTAGTGTTGTGACTAACAACTGCTGCAGCGCAACGAGCCTGGTAAGAACCCTTCTTAGTGTAGTTCACTCGTTTTCCACCAATGAATTTCGCTACTAACGAGTTGAAGTGTTCGGCATAGTTACTGTTTACATTTACTAGCAAACTTTTGGCATTGTCTACCAGGGAGCCAACAGCTGTCATGATTTTGCTGTAAAGACCCATTTTCTTCAATGTTGGAATGAGATTCTCTTCTTCAGGTTTTTTGCCATTACAAAAGTAATTTCTGTCGGAGCAATGGAGGTGTTCTCCAAAAATGTGACTTGGGCCATTCAGAAGATCTTTTTTTTAGTTCTACAGATTGGATGTTTATTGGTTTGTTTTGGTTTTTCCTATACTCCACAGCCTTCGTAACCGCCGACCTAAACTTTTTTCCAGCCCCTGCAATCTTTTTTCTCATGTCTAGTGTGGATAACATCTCTCCCTTCTCGTTTGTGTATTTTGTGGTGTCTCTAGAAATGTCTTTGATTTTGTTACAGTAATTTCTTAGTAAATGATTGGTACATTCTATTTTTTCTATAGTCAGGTTTTCGTAGGGTCTCTCTTCCAGTAACTGTTTGTAAACACTACTGTCTCCATCAGATATTAGTCTAGCATACTTGATGCCGTACATAGATTCGCTCTGCCTGAATCCTTCAACGATAATAGCGGCCTCCATGCTGCTCGATGAGTCACTCCAATTTCTGTAACAGGCATGGCTTGATATCTCTTCTCCTTCACTTTCGAATCTCGCACACGCTGTGCAATATTTATTTTTCACTCCTATGTAGAGGACTTTTCGAGTTCTGTACCCCAGGATAGCAGCCTACAACAAGGGCAAATCATTGAAATAAATCCAGTCGTGATAATATACTTCAGCTGTGAATAACATTAAAAATATCTGCCAAAGTTGTTATTATTATTTTTTAATTCAGTTTATCATTAAAATATGTATAGCTTTTCCAATATGGCCGACAACTTTATTTTTGTAACAATTAACAATTGTCAAGAACAATTCTATTTAGTATTTAAAATTCAGAATCTACTGAAATTTCCAATTTACCAAATTAATTTTTTCCCCAAATATAAAAATCTTTTACTGTACGGTAATAAAATACGAGGTTTCATAAAGACCGGTTGAAAAAAATTGAAAGATGGAAATGTTTATGTAAAAAATACTAAATGGCGGATATCTGGCTAACGAAGTGATTTTAGAAAATGTTTCAATATTGTTGGGCTCTTTATAATGATGGAAACATTTCCCGGAGTGTGTCCTAGTAGAAGCTGGACACCCTGAATATAAAACAGTTGCCAATACCACATATTTGCCATACGATTTCCTCAACCTGCTATTTCCCGACTGAACTACAAACAGCAAACACTTACAACTCCTGAAGCTGAGTTGTAGTTTGAGGATTTGTAGGACCGTTTTGCCCAGCTGGCATCTGCGACGACGGTGATGAGCGGCACGCCGTCTCGATCCACCTCGCCACTCTCCAGCGCTAATCGTGCTTCCTCCACCGCCGCCTCGCGCATCTCCTCTAGTGCTGTCTTCTGCCACCCTTCTGCAACCTGTGAACCACCATTACCCGAAACTTTACAATTGTGGTCAATATTGCCGTTTGGAAGGTCACATTGAAGTTGTTATCAACGTCTACAATAATATCTATAGGATAAGATTTAATCCTGTAAGTTGGTATTATATAATACACTATACTAGCAGAGAACCCGTCCTTCGTGCGAGATTGGCATATAAGTATAAAATGCTTATTGCAGTTATGGGAGAGGACACGGTTTAAGAACATATGTTTCTTTTAATCTATACGGTAAGCTATAGTATAGCACATCTACCATAGCCATATTGTTCTACCGCTGCACCTAAACCATAGAAAAAAAGTAAAGTACCACAGCTTTTTGTTGCTAGTTGGTTCAAATTATCTGTTCTCATAAATGCCAAAAAATAATAGTGCTGCACCCTGTTGGTAAACCTTATACGTTTTTAATGCTAAATATCATAGAACCAACTTGTGTAGTTGAAACATCTAAAATAATTTGTTAACTCATACTAATTGTCAATACGTACTAATTGAGTTACCATAGAATGATAGCGGTCATAAGTAGTGTTGCTCATGCAGTGGATGTCCATGGATCCTAGCAGCTCCTGGAGACCGGAGTATCCACTACCGATGGACATGATGCCGGCCACCGCTGCAGTGTTGACGTCCATCTGCTGGTTGTTGTTTTCTTCAGACCAAATCACGTCACTCAAATTGCACATTTCAATCTTAAACTTGTACCCAGATTTCAATCTGTTTGTTATTTCACCTTGGAAAACCATGTTTCCAAAATGGCAATCAAAAGGCCCGTCATGGTGGCTAAGCCGCCGGATTTCGTCGAAGAAATGTTTTATTTGCACAATGCGCCAGCCGGTCAATTCAGGGAGGTTTTCTCCAGCGGAAGAGGAAGTTTCCATGGGCAAGGGACTTGAGGATATTACGGGTGTTTGGTATGAAGGTGTGGTTAGGGGTGACTGAGGAAGGGTCTGTGTCTTGGGGGGAGTTACTGGCAGTGGTGCCGGTTCAGATGGAGTTGGTGATGTTGACGTTGACGCCTGGTTTCTATAAGCCGCCGTATGTCGCAGCAACCGCCACTCCGCCAACCTTTCACCTCCACGGTTTTTTTTCGTTTTACCCTTTGGGGCCTCACTTTACGCACCATGTTTTCAAAGAAAGATAAGAATGGCTAGTCTACTGTAGTTGTATAAGATTATGTGTAGTGGCCTATACTAAATAATTAAAACACAACACAAAACAAAAACACGACACAGAAATGTATAAATAGATAGCCCACTATTTATACATTACAAACACGATCTATTTATTTATACAAACACGATGTATTCACATAGACAGGTACAGAAAAATAATATGAGAATATATAGTGTGTACTATGCGAGCGTCCGAGTGCTACTACAGGACAGTATGCCAGGTAGGAACTGCAAAAAACAATATTTCTTGCGAATTTCTTAGAACTGAGTGACTCATCCCTCACCCCCCCCCCCCCCCACACTCTTACCCCAAACACAACTCTAATCAAGTTGAGACTGTCAAGTTTGGCCGTTCACTTTCCTAAAATGTCTAAGAATATTCGCAACTGCATTTTAGCTACTTGTTTATAATTTGGTTGGAAATAGGTGTGCAAGATTTTGTAGGCCTGCTGCGAAACCAACAATGAATAAACAGTTTTACGTAAAGTGATTAATCTCGCCATTGCCAATTTCAAGTGTTAATATACAGTATCTGTAAAGCTTTATTTTGTAGTAAGGCGTAGTTAGAAACATATATTGTTGCACCAATATACCAAAGCTATAGCACTTATAATAATAGTAAACGTTATTAAAATATCTAGGGAATTGTACTTAAACTATATTTTTACTACAGTAGTACTCGCAACTTAGGCCTACCAATAAGTGTAGTGCTTCTATCACACCCACGATACGATGAATATCGTAGTTACTGTAGGGATAAGGTTGTATACGTCATTTAATAGTAACGTCACGGAATAAACTACGTCATTCTTAGTATGAACAAAAATTACTGCGCGAATATATGGAAGCGCCTCACTTTGCCACTAGGATCGCTCTAATCAGTGAGCATTCCGCGATGTAAGGGTTTGCGCAGTCCCATTTTGTGCCCGTATTTTTCAACATATCAATGTAATACAATATTATTTGAATAAATAATACTCTAAACTACTCGAAATGATTTTTTAAATTTTGAAAAAAGACATAAAATAAGCGATATTAATATCCAAAGTTGATGATTTTCAGTTGACAATATAAAAAAACTATTTAAGTTATCGAAATTTCCAAAAAGCAATTCTAGTAGTTTGGACTTTTCTCGTTATGAATATATTTAGTTTATAATTTTCGCTCAATTACTGGGGCGTCTATATGGGACCGCGTGAAAGCTGTTTTTGGAAATTTGCGACTGGGTGTGGAGGACTCTTAACGTTAAAAGTCTATACGGATTTTCCAAAAAATCCACTGATGCAAATATCTCAAAATCGAAAAAAGTGTCGATAAGTGAGTTTTGGAATGGAAAGCCTCAAACATTATTATACTAGGCTGGGTTATCGAGATGCTAGTGTAAGTTATAAGGAAAATTTACTTACGAGAAATCTTTCAGTGTATCCAGGAATTGATTGTACGCTGCTATTGCCTGTTCTGCTATGACATTAACTTTTTGTAGAGCATGTGGTGTTGGTATAACGGAATTACTCTGTAAAAGATGCAGTGAGTTTTAAAATGTATTTGGTTGAGCCTTTGACAATAATATTATTCAATACTATTTTTAAATTGGACTCACAAACAGAAATAACAAAATTATTCCTCAGAAACCAAATAATAATAATTTTGTGAATTTATTATTCCTTAAATTTTAGAGCAAGTTTTAGTCAAAAGCAAGGCAGAGGTGTTAAAATGGTAATTAAATATTTATTTTGGTGTTGATTAATCAAAAACTATAAATTAGTTTTGTTTAAGGAAAGGCTCTAGGCCAGGATTTTAAATTGTAGAAAAAGGAGGATAGCAGCTAGCTTACCATGAAAGTGTGGGTAGGCCATAGAACAAGTAGAAAAACACCCGAAATATTGTGTGCATAGTGTTTTTCTACTTGTTCTATGGTCTACCCACACTTTGAAGGGAGGCTAGCTGCTATCCTCCTTTTTCTACAATTCAAAAACTATAAATGTATGAATAGGTAAACAAAATTAACATAGGCCTATCGTTAGAGTTAATATCGGTTATAACATCGATTTAAATATCTAGTGATTCAAAAGGGTGAATTCATTGTGTTAATTTATAAAAAGATAACCAATCACCTGAAGTTTTTGGAGTTTGATGTCCAGCATTGCAGAATGCGCCTCTCCAAGCTCAAACCACAACTCCTGGCATGGAGTTAAGAAGTATGTTGGGTTAAGTTCCTTGACAACTGCTTCTAAGAGGTCCACTCTCCGTTTATGCATTTTACATTGCCTGTAGACATCATTAGTAGCTTCATCTATCTAATTATGTTAATTAGATATGGCAAGACTGTTTGGGATATAAATGTAATTCAGGGTGTCTAGTTTGTTTCCATTTCAAAATTCAAGACAAATTCTGCAGACTCTTCTAGACTAATTTCAGACTTTTCAAGACTAGCTTTTAGAAACAATTAGTGATGTGTCGATACCAAAATTTATTGATTCTTGATACTAATACCATTTTTTATAGTTAAGATAAAATGGGTTTTTTTCAAGTTAAGAAAAAATAATGCAGCAATGAAAATTCTAACCAGCCAATTTGGGTTTAAGCCCTTCTTAACACATTAAATAATTACCACATCAAAGGTAAATGAAGATCTGAGTGTGCTAGCCTGATATTTTCAGTCAAGCCAAACTAGAGGTAATAGCGGTCGTGGAGACATCATCATCGACTTCTGAAATCTGGAATATATTCCTTTAATCACGTAAACATCATCGCGGCTGTGTAGAAATCATCATTGTCCCCCGTGGTCAAGAAAAAAAAAAACGTGTTCGTCGTTTTGCGCAATTGTGGCAAAATCATGAATATTTCATCAGACTTTACATGGAAAAAGAAAGTAAAGACTAAATCCAGACTTTTCAAGACAATTTTGAAATTCAATACAAATTCCTGACTTTCCCGTTCTTCCCGACTACTAGAATGGAATCATTGAATTGAGATGTAACAGTAGAGATCCTCTCTAAAGGCCAATAAATGGCTGGAGCCAATTTTTTTTTTTTTTTTTTTTTTTGTTTGTCCTAAGACGCTAGGCTTGAGCCTGGAATTGTTTTGATTACTTCAAAATCAGGCTAGACCTAGGGGTTGCGGCATTATCACATAGACAAAATCCATTGGTGATTTGGCGTGATTAGAACCCGGGCGCGCTATAACCACTAGACCAACTCGCTCCCCCGGAGCAAATTTGTATTAAAAATATATTATTTGAATATTACAGAATAAGCTACTTTCGAAATATCCTCTCTTGATTACTACGATAGCTGCTGTAAAAAAAGCAATCAGAGTATTTATCAGCTTGGCATGTTTGAAGAGAGTTTTTGAAGGTAATAAAAAACAGTCATAATTTAGTCAGACTAAAGAAAAGTACTAACCTTTCTTCATCATCTTCAAAAAATATGAGGTTCCTGAACAGCTCACTGTGATCTTGTACTATTCTGATATGGTCAGACGCTCGATCTTCAAGAGAGTAGTAAACCTGCAGGATGAAAAATTTTGGATTGATATTGACCAACAAATAAGCACTGAAAAAATGGAAGTACCTATATATACTTTTGCGAAGGAAATATTTGGAAAATCCATGTTAGGTAATGATGTAATTTTAAAATCTATATAAGAAATATAATAAGGGTTTTCCCCGTTCATCACTTTTCCAGCCGTACTACTTCACTCATTATCAGGATTTAGAGGTATAATTTTAAAGCTTATGAACTTGCGCACCTGCTTAAATTGACTGAAACTTACTTAATTTGGAAGCTTAATACATTTATTTATAGAGTACATTTTCAAAGCTCCAATTACGCTGACCAACTTTTTTAAGCGGATTAAATATGAATTGTAATCTTATACTGCTGATAATTCACTTTTTTGATAATTGCAACTTTATTGATGTAGGTAAATCACTATTCAGCCTTTGTGGTGTGGATCTAAATCTTTGAAACGTAAAAGGGGCATTGCAATATTATTTTTAACTTGGAGTAAACTTTTGAAATTGAACCCTTAAAATGTTGCACTTTAACCCTTTCAGTGCTATGAAACGATATATCGTTGTTTTAAAAAATCTCTAAGGGATATAGAGAGAAAGGTTATTTAAAAAAAAAAAATTGCAAAATGGCCATTGGTGACCTGCATGTTCATAGGATACACTAACAACCACTTAGCTAAAAGATTCGCCCAATCCGATGATTTCGAGGTGTATGTCTAAACCAAGGATTATGAACACCTCACTATGCCCCAGTGGTTGTAGTATATCGCTACAAACACACAGGTCACCAATTATTTGCCACACAGGACGGGATTCGAAACCGAGCAGACGAATGCCACTGGTCAAGTGACACACGCCCTAGTCTTCTCGGCTATCTGTGCTTGAAGACTGAGGAGTCAAAAACCGGTATTTAAGCTGTCGCCACCGATTGCGAACAGATAGCGCTACAGATGGTTGTTCAATGCGTTACTAGGTAGCAGCACCAGTTAGTCACGGACTATTTAGATGAAATCTTTTAGTTTAAACACGACAGTGATCATAAAAGTGTTCCTGAGACTTTGCTGCAAAACATTAGTTTCCCTAAAATGGCTATATTACGATAACCTCGTCCAACTAAATCAAGGTTAAATTCAATATTACATTGTAAACTATTTGTCTTTTGATTTTATGGGATTTTGGTTTCAAATAATGCTATCAACATAAAAATTTATAGGAAAACCAGGAAAATTACAACAAAAACTAAGTTTTATTTAATGTTTACTACAAATACCGGGATTTATCTTTCTTATATATTTTCTTATTGTGTTATTATTCAAAACTAGCCTAATTAATAAAATAGTGACAACATGACAGTTAAAATTCAACAACAGGTAATGGAATTAAGAGGCAAACAAAAAAGTCTTACAAAATATGAATTATTGGCCTAGCACTGAAAGGGTTAAGCATGGGTCCCCTTGTGTTATATAATGACTGGCTACAAAATATGTTTACCTTGGCTTGATTTAGCCACTGTTGGCAGTTGAGGAAGACATTTCGAGCATCTTCAAAAGTTAGGACATAGGCGTCAGTGACTTGATCCTCGTACACAGACAACTCAAGCTGAGAAAACTGAAGACCTGACAGTTCTCCTGGAAATATTTAAAAACATTCAATTATAACTAATTTTGATTTGGTAGTACCATTGACTTTATATCTCTACACTAGACATCTTATCGTGTACTAAAATCCGTCGCCAACGATTTCAGCCGAACTAGTAGAGTAAACCCTCCATGCAGTGTCGCTCCTAGTGGCCGTGGCTTGAAACTCGATCCGGCTCCACCTCCAGTGCTGCGCGCGCACACATAGTGGCATGACGTAACCGACGTGCCCATGCGTATACCTCCCCCCACAACCCTTCCCCACAACCACTACCTCTCCTCTCCTCTCTCCGTACTGCCAGCCACAGACGGCCCGGCGAATGCGTTCTGCTAATCTTTGCAACACGCCGCCGGTGTCTCCGAGCCCAAGCATTGTGGTCGCTCGATCGCATACATGCTAAACTTACCTCTTTAAGAATACAATTAATTGGTTATAGTTTTACACTATGTAATTCCCAAGTAGTTTATATATATTATTATAAAAACTAAGGAAGAACCGTTTTGATGTAAATAGAATAATGATAAAATCAAATTTATTTACAAATATAAGCTTGGTAACTGTATTAATATAATAAATACTGAAATTAGTTTGTACTTTTAAAATGGCAAAAACCTTTATAGGACATCTATATATTTAATACACAGTTGTAAGTCTGTTTTCTCAGTGACTACTGGACCGATATGCAAGATTTATATGTCAAATTAAAGGGAATAATGCCCAGATTTGCCGAATTTCCTTAGTGCAGTATATAAGTTTTTCAAATGCCCTTCAAAGGGCGAGTCATTACAATTCTTATTGAAGAATATGAAATCTATACTATTATAAAAAAGAGGTGGTGTCTGTGTGTGTGTATGGGAAAAGTAAACGCGAAAACTACTGGTCGGATCGGGCTGAAATTTGGCATGATGATAGCTCACATTCCCGATTAACATATAGGCATATTTTTATCCCAAAAATCCTTTCGGGCTCCGCCCCAGTGGCTCTGGAGTTTCCCATGTTAACCTTATGAGAAATGAAATTATTGAATCTTAACAGCTGTTTCAATTAAACAAGTTGGTTCTGTTCTGTGATGTTGAATAGCATTAAAGTTACAAGGATTACCAACAGGGTGCAGCACTAGCACTATTATTTCTTTTACATTTATGACAACAGCAAAAGGAGAGTGAGCGTAGCGAACGAACTTCAACCTGGAGGCGAGTGAGCGTAGCGAACGAGCTAACCTGAAGGCAAGTGAGCGTAGCGAACGAGCTAACCTGAAGGAAAGTGAGCGCAGCGAACGAGCTCCAACCTAAAGGTGAGTGAGCGTAGCGAACGAACTTCAAAAAGAACCGAAATTTCTTAAACCATGTCCTCACTCATAACTGCTATAAGCATTTGATACTTATATGCCAACCCCGTACGAAGGACGGGTACTCTGCTAGTTAGTTATAATTATAAACCATTTGTCAGATGTGAGATATTTGTTACTACTTTTATAAGAGAACCATCAAATTAAAAAAGTAAAGGACAGTGATGGTGTTAAATGTGCTCTGGGAGTACCTACAAAAACACTGACTTTTGAATTGCGATCGTTTAATTGGATTTGTCCTTTGTCAATAGGCCTACTGCAAATCTATGAATTTCGAGACAGAACAGGGGCACAAATACATTGTCCTCATGTTGTCCCAAGGGAAGGTTAAATTAGCTCCTTATCAACATTCTGAGCTCTTGGAAAATCTTATCAACTACCTATATATTTAATACACAGTTGTAAGTCTGTTTTCTCTTTATGTATAAGCATGAGTATGAGATGTATGGCTACATCCTATGTAAAGAAACAAACACAATTTCGAAAAACTATTTGAATAATATAAGATCATACAAGTATATACAATTTGTAATGGTGAGTTCTGCTGAGTCCCAACCAGATAAATCAAAATCTGATTTTCTTCTTTTGGCTCTATCTTTTGATAATGGTTCAATAGTGACTCTTTCAGTCTTTCTAGTTTATAACAATCGAAACCCGCTATTAGCACACAGTTCGTAAAATACGAATAGTAAAAATAATACTGGAACTGTAATTAAAAACTGCCTTCAAGGACGACACTTGATGGCCATAAAGAACACACAGGGATGTTTGTATATTTATTGAATGTTGAAACATGTTCGCTAACATTAAACCTTTTATCAAGCCAAATATATTTTGTCGTTTCAAAATGTTGTATCTTATAATATTTTTGCAAAAGTATATATTTATTTAAATTTAATTTTGAGAACATGAATCGCAATAGGATAGCGCGAAACAGTTTTGGCGGGGGCGAAGAACCTTAACCTCTACGGCGCATGCGCATGTCAAAACTCTTGGCCTTGAGCTCTTGTTCAAAACTCTTGTTCAGGCCAATTCTGAGAAAATTTTATTCATCCATTATTTTATAGGGTTTTATGGAATAAATAAATAAATAAATCTTTATTGTCACATAACGTTTACAAAATATAGCAATGCTATAAAACAGGTGACATTGTAATACAGTATACAAATACCTTAAAACTAAGGAGTTATAAAAGAAAAAAATAAACTAACGCTATGAAAATAGAAATAATTGTTGTAGACAAAATAGATAAATTAAAACATTGCATTTAAAATACGAAATAATTACACATCTTGATCACATAAAAACTCATCTATACTATAATATGTTTTCCTTAAAAGAAAATTAGTAAGGCTGCTCTTGAAATGCTTAGACTGTATTCTGTTCTTGAGCTCTTGAGACAATTTATTAAACAATTTTTTGCCCATGTATGTCGGAGTTTTTTCTACTAATGAAAGACGGTGCCGTGGATATTGAAAATTATATTTAAATCTAGTATCGTACTTGTGCTCGACATTTTTACTACATAATTTTTCAAAATTTCCCTCCACCATCAAAAGTGTTTTAAAAATAGTTAAACTCGGAACAGTCATTATCCCTAATTCTTTAAAAATAGGTTTACATGATGTTCTCCAAGGTGCAAATATCATTATTCTTAAAAACCTTTTCTGTATCTTAAAAATTAAATCGATGTTTGATGCAAAGCCCCAGAATTCAATTCCATACTGAAGAATCGAATAGAAGTATGCATAATATAACATCAAACGAGTTTTTAAGTCAATTGTGTTTCTTAAACATATCATTTGATAACATGCCGAATTCAGTCTACTAATCAAATTTTCAATGCTTTTGTTCCAATTTAAATTTGAGTCTACGTACAATCCGAGAAATTTTGCATCATCTTGAACACATAAATTTTGGTCACTAAACTCTCTTGCCTGAGCAGTACAAAACTTTACAAATTGGGTTTTCTCTTGATTCATTTTTAAACCGTTAATATTGAACCACCGTTCCAATTCCGATAGGGCTTGTTTAATTTTGAGAGATAGTTCTGAATCATTTTTAGATTTGACAACTGCAGTTGTATCGTCGGCATATAAAACAAGGTTGTTTGAAACATTTTTAGGCAAGTCATTTATATATAAAATAAAGAGTAAAGGTCCGAGAATTGACCCTTGGGGAACACCAACTGTAATTTTTTCCCATTCTGATATTGATTTTTCATTATTTTTAAAAATTACTGTTCTTTGAAATCGATTTGTCAAGAATGAAGTCAACCATAAAACAGATTCTTTTGAAAAGTTATAAATTTTTAGCTTTTTTAAAAGTATATCATGGTTGACACAGTCAAATGCCTTGGATAGGTCACAAAACACTCCCATTGTGCTCTGTGACCCATCCAAAGCCCATGAAACCTCACTAATAAAATCTGATAAAGCTTTCATTGTGCTTAAGCGCTTTCTAAAACCAAATTGTTCATTAGCCAAAATATTGTTATTCTCGAGAAAGTTTGAGATTTGTTTGGATGCTAATTTTTCAAACACTTTTGAAAATGATGGTAAAAGGGAAACTGGTCGATAATTGTCCGGATTTTGTCTCTCGCCCTTCTTGAAGAGAGGTTTGAGCTCTGCATATTTGAAATGGTCTGGAAAAGTTTTTTTTTTAAAGACTGATTAATAATTATAGATAAAGGTTCAGCTATGAAATTAGAGACAGTTTTCATCAGATCGATAGGAATACCGTCCCAGCCAGCAGATTTTTTACTTTTGAGGGATTTTATATTATTAATAACTTCTTCTGTACTTACAAAACTAAAGTCAAATTGGTTAGGTTGATTTCCTGCCAATGAATGCCTTGTCATTTTTAGTGCATCCTCTTCATGAGGTATTAGGCCAATTTCTTTTGTGATATTTTTAAATTTTTTATTAAAGAATTCAGAAATTTCCTTGCCATTTTTTAGATGATTGTCATTAACCTTAATATCAGGAAAGTTTAAGTCACTTTTTTTACAACCGAGTTCAGATTTAATGATAAACCACGCAGCCTTACTCTTGTTACATGATTCTTTTATAAATTTAGCATTATACAATTTTTTAGCTTCATTGCATACCTTGTTGAAAGTTAACTTATACCTTTTAACATAGTTAATGAAATTATTATCATTTGATTTCTTTACTAGTCTGCTTAGTTCCCTTTTTCTAATACTAGATATTTTAATACCGGTTGTTATCCAAGACTTTTTTTTTATTAAGCGGTTTGGTATGATAAAACTTCATAGGAAATGCCTCTTCAAATAAATTTTGAAAAGTGCCAAAGAAATTTAAACAGTTATTTTCAAAAGAATTATTTACAGATACATTCCAGAAAGTTTCTTTCACATTATATATAAATTTTGCTGTATTTTCTTCTGAGAAAATTCTTTTTTTACATTTGTTACCATTTATTATATTTTTATCAGTTTTACTAAATATATTTAAAAATAATGCTCTGTGATCAGAGATCCCTAATTCTAAATTCATTGTTGTTGATACAGACAGATGATGATTCATTTTTGGTGATAAAATATTATCAATACAGGATTTTATGGATTTGGTAATTCTTGTTGGAGAGGAAAAATTTATTTTAAAACCATATTGCTCCAA